GGGGAAACAGGCAGGCGATGGGAGGTGGAGACTTCTTTTATTCCCTTTATTTAAAAATGAAGATGCAGCCCTAATTGTTGCGAGAGCTGGCCGGGGCGGGCGAGTTGACTGTGAACTTGTACTAAAGCGTGCTCTGCTGGCGAGTCCTAGGGTGTGCAGATTTATCTTGCCTGCATTTACTTAACCCGGCAGTGAACTGCGCGGGCGTCATTTGTTAGGCGATGACAGACCTCACCTCCAGCAGGAGCTGCTTCACAAAATCGCAATAATTACCCAATAACCTTCATTACAAATATTATTATTGAAAAGTCTGGCCTGTAGGGAGGAGGCTTGGTGGGAGAAGGACATGTCGCTTTGTGAACAACACCTAAACAACAAGTCTAGGCACAGGCTCCAGTTCTGGGGCTCTGGAGGGCTAGGATGGAGGCTTGGCTAAGTGAGTGGGGGTGCCTAGGCTGACCCCCTTGGCCCTGCCTGGAAGGGAATTCCTCACCCTCCCTTCCTCCTTCCCTTGTTAGAATGGAGCCCCAAATGCTTAGCACCCTCCACAGTGGGCAAGCCAAGGATAGGCACCCAGTGAAGGCTGCAAGAGCCTGCAAGGACAGTCTTCCCCCCAAGGCACCTTCTGGGCGACGGGGGCTCCCGCTGGCTGATAGGATAGAGCCCTCTGAGAATCTTAATGCACAGGGCCATGTTTTTGGTAGAAAAAAAAAAAATCTGCCTTGCTCTTTCCCAGCTGCCCATGAGGCAGCCAGGGAGAGAGCAGGAGAAAAGGCATCTTGGCCGAATGTTGTGAAATTAGACCATGCAAACCCTAACAAACTCCTAAGTAAGTGTGACCAGAAGCTTCCTATTATATTTATAGTTCAGGAAATATTGTCTCTTCAGCTTGTGGAAACAAACGGGACCCTGTACATTTCCGCCGCCTTCTCCTCTTACAGGACCAGGAGGACAGCATGCAAACACACACACACACACACACACACACACACAGAGTTGGCAAGTTCCTCTGCAAAAACAATCCAAAAGAATGCATGAAGAAGAATGAACTTATCTATCATAGGAGTGGCTAAGCAGCCTCCCTCCTTATTCTGCTTCCTACATAGGAAGAAAGACAAAAACTCCTCCCATGAGGCCCATGATGGTCTGATGGGATGTTGGATGCTTCAAAAGTCACTACCCTTTTTGTGGCTTGACGCTCTAACATTCCACCTCAGCTTTCTGAAGACTAAAACAGAATCAGCAAGCCAAGCGTAGTGGTCGCCTGGTGGAGAGACTTGGGTGCTGCCTGGATGTGACTCCAACAGCTTATCTGTCCACTCCTGCACCTCAACACCCCAAGGTGGCAGGTGGCACGTGGGCCCTCTTCCAATACAAGTTTCTCCACACACGAACCCACCAGCACCCCTTTCTCCCTCTTTCTTTGGGCTTCTCTAGCTCTAGTCACCAAAGGAGTCACTACAACAAAACAACTACACCCCAGTGTTTCCAGCAAAAAACCCCAAAACTCCAGACACACAGATAGCACAGCGGACCCCCATTCCCACATAGCAGCCACCTGAGTGTCAAACTGCAGTGTCAAATTGTAGCATTCACTTCGGAAGTTACACAAAGGATGTGTGTGGGGGGAACTTCTTCACCTTACCACCACTCAGAAGTGGCACTTGATGCAAGAGTTTTGATTATTTCTCAACCACTTCCCCAGTTTTGATGTTTGGGCCACTGATTTAGGGGACATCTGTTGGCCTTCTGTTGCGGGTAAGCAGCCATCATCAATAGCTAGTGGAAATTCTAAATCTGTACTCTCAATGTGTTCTTGCTCTAAGCCCTTGAACAATCAGCACTTTGCTGAAAACCATCCAGTTCCCAAGGAGCAAAGCAGGGCCTGCCTTTTTTCTTTTTGTTTCATTTCCCAGTGCAGTTGGAGAATTTGGTTTAACCTGCTAGGTCCTGGGGGTAGGAGGTGGGGGTGGAAAATCCCATTCAGAAAAAGACCCCAGGACAGGCCACAGCACCCCCAGATCCTTAGCTATGCCATTCAAGATCACCAAGAATTGGGACCAGAATGGAATTGCACCCAGGAAAAATTTTACTTCTCCTTACTTTGCCCACTGGTGCAATCTTTAGAAACCACAGATTATGTAAATTCCCCGGGATCAAACAACTAACAAAAGAAAGGCGGAAATCTCCTATGGACAAACGACCCATTTCTTCCCCAAACTACCCTTTATGATGTGTCAGGAAAAACAACCTAATGTTCTCTGGGAACTTTTAAGTCAAGCACTGAAGACACCTCGATTTTCCCCCACCCCAAACTTTAGGGCACAGTTTGGGAGAGAGAATGTGTCTGTAGGTTCGGGCGGAGTCAATTTCTCTCATCTTTAGTGTCACCTCGGGGGAGGAGGGGGACGCCTAAGTTGCCTTTTGAGGGTTCTGTGCATAGATGTTTGAATCATGGAAAAGGAGGGAGGGAGAAGAAAGGCAAGGCGGAAGAAAAGAAAGCGCTTTAACCCTCCGTTCAATTAGCCTGGGGATTCAAAGACTAAAGTTAAATCCGGCCATAAAGTTTATTGCTTTAGAATCACAGGCGGGTGAGAACAGTTTAGGCGGAATAAAAAGAACCGTGCAGGCCAGCAAGGTTCAGGGCTTGGTCCCTGGAGCGGAAGAGGGGGAGGGGGGAGTGTGCATTCTGAGCACCCCGCCCCCAGGTGGGGACCCGGGTCCCCAGAGTCCCAGGATACCAGCCAAGTCGGTTTGGTGGACCCTGGCCTAAGGATGCTCGCCCCGCGCCTCTGCCATCCTCCGGCTCTCGCCAGCCCAGCCGGCCTGAAACCAGGCCTCGAAGGCCCCTGCCTCAAGTCAGCCCTGCCAAATGACCCCGGCCCGCGAAGGCGTACTGCCACCGCTCGCGAAGAATCCCGCCGCCGGGACGGAGCCGCCGCGGCCCTGCCCGAAAGCCTTTCTAGTTCGCGAGCGCAGCGCAACCCTGGGCGTCCCGCAACCGGCGTCCCCCAGTCTCCCAGCACCCCTCATTCCAGGGCTCCGCGACCCCCGAAGAGCAGGAACCCTCCAGGCCTGGAGTTTGGGAGTAGAGAGAGCAGAGTTGCCAAGTCTGTATACACAGGCCCCTTCGCGCGCGCGCACACACACCCACACACACATACCCACATACACACACAAAAATCAGCTTTTTTGCATGCCGGAGGGAGAGCGGAAGTCGTTAACATCCGCGGTGGCGCAGCAATTTAAGTTGGGTCCGGGTAGCGGCGAGGCCACGGGTGGGCACGGTATTCCGCGCGGCCTGAGCAGAGGCAAAGTGGGCACTCCCTCTCCAAATGCAGAGGCAGTTCAGAATTACAGAGCCAGAGAGAGGGAGAAGGAAGGGAGAGAGAGAGGGATAAAGAGAAAGAGAGAGAAAGTTTAGAGTACAAATAAACTTGCACCCGCTCTGGAGGCCCGCAGCTTACCTTAACTCGAAGGGAGCCATCTTTCAGAGGGTTTTTTTTTGTTTTTTGTTTTTTGTTTTTTTTGAGCACTTGTAGTTTGGACACTTCTGGACCTAAAATTGACAATGTGAATGGCCAGGCGGGCACACGTAGCCTGCAAAAGAGTCAGATGGAGTCCAGCGTCAGTGAGATTATATGTTATGTGGTATATAATGTTGGATGTCAACTCCCCAAAACCATAAAACTTACTTTAATGGCCCCACGTGACGGTTTATAGCCAGTGAGCCGACCTGTCTGCGCTATGGATGATTTTACGATCTAATTCATAGACAAAACCCTATTCATTTGGCACCCAAATGTCATATAGCCGGAACTGGGGCTTATAAAGTTTACTGTTTTATAACTTTTAAAAGGAAAGGGGGCCTCAGTGTAAGCAGTGGGTAAATGTGCAAATCTCTCTAAGTTGCCGCTCTGACGAGTTCCCACTCCAGCTAGGATGGGGTAAGTACCTTCCATTCCTAGCGAATGAAATGATAGCCGGAGAGACCCCACTGGGCTCCAGGGGCGAGGGGTGGGTGCAGGACCCAGGGCTGGGGCTGAGGGGGCAGCAGCTGGCAGAGGTTGGGGGGAGTGGGCTTCTTCAGCAAGCAAGCCTAGGCCTGGCACACAAGCCTGGGACCAGGCAGGCTCTGGACTGGGCCCCAGCGCCGCTAACAAAGCCTCAGGCTACTCTTCATTTTGCCTCCTTTATGTTGCTTCTCCCACCCTAAGCAAGTTCCCTGTGCCGCCTCTGAGAAGGGGCTGAGTGGGCTCTGGCTTGGCTTGGTGCGTGTCTGCTGGTGGGGTGAGAGGCAGGGAGGCGGCCCACAGGGAACTGTGAGGGTGAGGGTGAGGACCCCTTTTGCACCCACACAGGCCGTTCAGGTGGCCTCATACCCATTAGCTTCCAGCACTGGGCAAGAGAGAGAGAGAAACAGAAAAAGTCGCTCGCTATTTGGGTACAAATCAGACCAAGAGAACTTACAATAGAAAGTTTATTTTTGTTTTTGTGGTGGTAGTGGTGGTAGTTTCCAGTCAGTAATTTTTTTTTTCCCTTAAAAACAAATACCAAAAAAAAAAAAAAAAGGCTGATCACAGTTTGCTTTAAACAGCCAGACTTGCACAATATTTGTAATTTTGTTCACAAAGACATACATCACTGAAGCTGGGCTTAGAAGAGCCACTCCCCAGAATTCGTGCAAGGGGTCCTACCAAGGCACGCAGGGACACACCGACACACCTTCTGAAGTCACAGTTTTCCCGCACAGTCACTAGCCACTACACGTCGGACAAGTTAAGTTGGCGTCTCAGCAAGTCACCTCTACAACACCATTTAGTTACACAGGGGCTATAGGTAGCTTGAATAAAAAATATCTTTAAACAGCTTGGAGCTATTGAGACAAACATTTGCACGCACATGCACAGTTCAACAACTCGAGTGCAACACACAACATTGGCACTACACGAGGTCGGAGGGGGGACATTTTTGTGTGGTTTTTTTTTTTCTCTTTTCTGGTTATAGTTACTTCAAGTAACACAGCTTGCTTCATATAAATAAGTTAAAACATCTATTTTTCTTTTTTCAAGACAAAGCCATTCAGGACAGAGGGGTGAACAGAAAGCTACGGATACAGGCGCTGTACATGGCAATAAACAGGCTTAGGATGACGGGCAGGGAGCAGAGGGCTACTCCACGGAAGGAACACAAGGGGGGGGGGCTTTTTTTTTTCCGGAAAGTCACCTTAGGACTGAAACTAGGCGGGCTCCGCTCCCACTGCTCAGTCCCCCAACGAACGCCCACAGACACTTAGGGGCGGAAGGCCCCTCCCGCCGCCGCCATACTCATGCTTTTGAGCTTATTATCTTTTTTCCACTTCATTCTCCGGTTCTGGAACCAGATTTTAATCTGTCTCTCGGAGAGGCAAAGAGCATGTGCTATCTCAATCCGCCTCCGGCGCGTCAGGTAGCGGTTGAAGTGGAACTCCTTCTCCAGCTCCAGGGTCTGGTAGCGCGTGTAAGCCGTCCGGGCCCGCTTGCCTTCGGGGCCGCCTATGTTGTCTGCAACACACAAGTCAGTCAGCGCCGTTAGCCCCTCGCCTTGGCCCCGCCGAGCCCGCCCGCGGGCCGGCCGGACGATCCGGGGGTACCCCCCCAGGAGGAGCGAGCCAGAGAGCCCGGGAGCCCAGAAGCAGGAGGAGGAGGAGGTGGGGGGGTGGGGTTGGAGAGGGGGGAACCCCAGCGCAAGGCTCAACAAGTTCTGCCTCCCGGCTCCGAATTTCCTCCCCTCTTCCTTTCTCGGGAGAAAACAATACGGTTTGCACTCTGGGAACAATCAGCCCACCCGGGAGCGAGGCTGGAGCCGCGCCCCCCGTCCCGCAGGATCGTCCAGCTTCCCCGCGCCCCCTTCTCGCCCTCTGGCAGGGCCCGGGACGCCCCCCAAGCCGGCGACACAGCCCTCCCTGGCATATCCAGCCCCGGGAAGCGCCCCCGTTGCCTGCGGGTCACAGTCCCTAGAAGTTGCAACCCCAGGAGCCGCCGGTTCTTTTTCTTTCTGCCCCTTCCCTTCTCTCTCTCCCTCCTGACCCCAAACTTGGGGCTTTCGCCCGCCTAGCTTCTAGTCCGTCTCCCCCCGCCCCCAGCCCTCTTTTCCGGGGCCCTCTCCCTAGGAACGCGGCTTGCCCGGCGTGGTCGCCCTCTTCATAAATTATCCGCCCTGACAAGCCCGATTCACGGCCCCTACTGCATCCTCCACCTCGGTGCGCCCGGCTCGGCCGGCCTGACCCGGGAGCGCGCTCCGAGGCGGCGCTGGGGTGCCAGCCCAGGCGGCTGCACTGGGGTTGGCTTCGCTTCCTTCCTCCCCCTGCCACCCCCCAATCCTCGTCCTCCTTCTTTCCCCGCCTGAACTTGCCCGTTTTCCCCCTCCACTATGGGAGCGCGAAGAGAGCTGCAAAAGAGGTGGAGGAGGAGGCAGGGGAAGGAGAATGGCAGGGAGGCAGGCTCGGCGGCGGGGCCGAGGCAGGCGAGAGCGGGAGAGAGACGGGGAGAGAGGGCGCCCGGAGGAGAGCGCGGGGGGCCCGGCGGCCGCGCGGGGGGCTGCGGGGAGAGGCTGGCTTTACCATGACTTATGTGCAGCTTGCGCATCCACGGGTAGATCTGGGGCTGGGCGGGCGGCGCCGGGCTCGGCTCGCTCTGCGCGCTCGCCTGCTCGCTGCTGGCAGGGGCGTCCTCCTCGGCTCCGGACGCCGTGCCAACCCCCTCTCGGTTGCTGATGTGGGTGCTGCCCGCGTTGGCCGAGGCGCCGCTCGAGTTGCCCAGGGAGTTTTTCCCGCCGTGGTGGCTGTCGCTGCCGGGCGAGGGGGCCACTGCGGAGCAGGGCAGCGGGTCGGGCGGAGGCGAGTGCGTGGACGTGGCCGGCTGGCTGTACCTGGGCTCGGCGGGCGCCGCGCCGGCGCCGGCCGCGTAGCTGCGGGCGCGCTCCCCGGAGCCAAAGTGGCCTGAGCCCGAGCGGCCGACGCTGAGATCCATGCCATTGTAGCCGTAGCCGTACCTGCCGGAGTGCATGCTCGCCGAGTCCCTGAATTGCTCGCTCACGGAACTATGATCTCCATAATTATGCAACTGGTAGTCCGGGCCATTTGGATAGCGACCGCAAAATGAGTTTACAAAATAAGAGCTCATTTGTTTTTTGATATGTGTGCTTGATTTGTGGCTCGCGGTCGTTTGTGCGTCTATAGCACCCTTGCACAATTTATGATGAATTATGGAAATGACTGGGACATGTACTTGGTTCCCTCCTACGTAGGCACCCAAATATGGGGTACGACTTCGAATCACGTGCTTTTGTTGTCCAGTCGTAAATCCTGCCTGATGACCTCTAGAGGTAAACTCGTGCACTAATGGGGGAGTTGGGTGGAGGCGAGAGGGGTGGCGCGCGCGCCCCGGGGCGCGTGCCCGCCGCCCGCTGCCGCTGTTGAGCCGGACTCGAGCGCCACCCGCTGGAGGCAGGGCGCGTTGCTCCGCTTCCGACCCCGGGCTGCAAGGGCCGGGGTCGAATTGAGGTTACAGCCCATTATGGCAAAATTATTGCATTTCCCTCGCAGTTCCATTAGGATGTACCAATTGTGAGGCCGTCAGCTGCCGATCGCGCGCCCAGCGAGGATGCAGAAGCTTGGGGGGTGGATGGTAGGGAGGTGGCGACTTGGATTTTATTTACAACTTTATTTCGCCCGCTTTGCAGCCCCCTTCTTACTTTGCGTGCGTGTATATGTGTGTGTTGAAGCCGGGGTCGGCTAGGCCCGTCCGGTTGGCCAGCAGCTCTGAATTTGGAAAATACAGGCTCTCACCTTCTGGGCAGGGAGGTGGAGGAGGCCATCGAGCCCATTGGAGAGATAAATCCTGCCCGCAGCGGCCGGCACAATTACGGTTCTGTTTTGTGAGAGCGCATGAGGACAGTGCCCCTGCCGCTCTTAAGTGACAGGCGTCTATTAAAGATAGCTTTTGTGCAGTGTTTCTCCGAGGCGAGGTCAACTCCCATGCATACACTTTTATAACCGAACTCGATTTTTCCCTTCACGTAAAAATGGTTTTCGTGCCATTCATTTGCTGTTTGATTTGCTCACGTAGCCAGCTTGCAGAATCTCCACCAGCGGGTTTCGGTTCGCGGGACAGCCGGGCCCCAAATCCAAGGGTTCTGGGCGAACCCAAGCTCCTTGCGGCCACGGGCGCTGCTGAGGGCTTGGGGAGCTCCGGGCTAAGACCCCGGGGTCTGGATCAGACCTCGGGCTGCAAAAGGAGGCAGCTAACCGGCGCATTTCGTGGCAGCGCCTAGCATCTCCGTAGCTCCTTCCCCCGACTCCGAAAGACGCGGGGGAACCGCAGATGTAGCCTGGAGGCCAGGGGCGTGTCCCCGCCGGAGGCCCGGCGCCTCGGGCGCCCCTGGCACGCTTGGAAGCCGGGACTCTCGCCGTTCCCATGGCCCTGGACCCCGCTGCTTGGGTCCCGAGAGCTACCGGGGCGGCGGCGCCGACGCTGTCGGAGGCGCGGAGCGGGAATCGGGAGGCGGGATCCCGGTCGTTCCACCCGCGCCTGTGTCTGCCGGCCTCGGCCGCTTCTGTTCCTTCCCCTGACGGTTGCTCGCGGGCTGGCAGGCTCAGCTCTCTCCGGGGCCCCCTTTGTTCCTGGAGCTTGTGCCTATCTCGGGGGGCGATCTGAGAGGTCGTGACAGGGATGGGACCCCCAGTCCTGAGTCCCCTCCCCTCCTTTTGCTGTGGCTGCGGAGGATTTAGTGGTGCCCTTCCCAAGTTAATGGCCGGGAATCGATTGAGGCGCCGACGCCCAGACACCAAACCCGACTGGGCCCGGGGCTCTCTGCCCGCCAGCAACCTGGTGTACCGAGCAACGGGAGCGCACGAGCGCCGGCCCAGGGCTCGTAGACGAACTCGAGGCGTTGCCCGGGGTCCCGGAGCAGGCTTAGGCAGCCTTGGCGGAGCGAGACGGTTTGTGCATCGATGCGCTTCGCTCCAGCGCTGACACTGGCTGTGTGGGGGTTTTTGTTTGTTTGCTTGTTTGTGTGTTTTGCTTTCTTTTCTTTTTTTCTTTTATCTTTTCTTTCTTTTTTTTTTTTTTTGAAATTTGTAAAATGATTAGACGCTTGCGAATCTCGGGTTGCCTTAAAGCTGCCGAAACCTCTCGGGTGGGAGCAGGCAGGGAGGGAAGTTGGGGACCAGGCGGGCAAGGGCAAAGAAAGGGCAAACCCACAGAGGTTGCAGCGCTGGCCTGGTCCAAGCTTGGGCATCTACTCGCCCGCCTTGGCTTCCGAGTCCTCCCCGTTGGGCTGTGTGGAATTGATGAGTTTATTTTCTTTCTTCCACTTCATTCTCCGGTTCTGGAACCAGATCTTGATCTGGCGCTCGGTGAGGCAGAGCGCATTGGCGATCTCGATGCGGCGGCGGCGCGTCAGGTAGCGGTTGAAGTGGAACTCCTTCTCCAGCTCCAGCGTCTGGTAGCGCGTGTAGGTCTGGCGGCCTCTGCGCCCGTGGCTCCCGTACACCGCACCTGCAGGCAGCAATGGGCGGGCACGGGTAAGCGAGAGAGAGTCCGAGAGAGGCCATACCTCGAGTCCCCACCTCCATCCCAGGCCCTCAAGTTGCAGACCACCCCTCCACCACTACAACCTCTCCCTCTCTCTGGAGTCCAAAGCAGACGGCATGGGGAAGAACTTCTTTCACATTAAGAGTAATTTTCCATCTGAAAGGACTTGGAGTGGGAGATTACTGATTAAAAAAAAAAAATCTGCTCCCTAAGAAAACCATTGTGAACGAAATAACAAAACGGGAAGTCTTAACTTGGGACAGTTAAGTGGTGTTTTGGTGGGAGTGTGGGGTGTGAGCATGTGGGGGTGGGGTAGGTGAGTGTCAGTCCCAGAAGTGCACGCGTAACCCACACAGGCTCTGTGTGTGATTATGCTGCTGCAGCCAGGCTCACAAGGGCTCCACACACTTTTTTTTCCCCCTGAGAGTTAACTTGGGGTAGCTCTCCCCAATCTTCTCAAATTCTCCCCAAATTATTTGACCCTTCTGAAAGAGATAGATCTCCCTTGGGTGGGGGGTGGGGACAGGGGTGTCGGTTTTCAAGGCAAAAGCTGTAAAATGAGGGCTCACGCCTTCCCCTCCAGCTCAGGGCAAAGGGGTTCCCAATGGAGTCTGCGAGGGGTGCAGGGCTGGCGCAGGGCCGTGGGTGGGGGCTTCTGCTAGCGCAGCGCTGTGTGGCACTGGTGGTCCTGGTGCCAACCTGGCTGTGGTTAGCAGGGTCCCCACCCCCACTCCCCAAGCCAGGAGTGTCTCTCTTCAGGCAGGGGCTCAGAAGGAGACACAGGCTGACCCAGAGTGGGCAGCTGAGCTGAAGGAGGCAGAGGAGGGGATGTGGGGAGTGCGGAATAACCTGAAGATGGGGGCATGGCCCTGCCAGGCGCGGGGAAGACCCTGGAAGAGGCTAAAGGAGGGGTGCCCTCTCTCTCCCTAAGACTTTGCAAAGGGCCAGGGGTCCAGCCCACTATGGGCACTAAGCAGTGTGCTACTGAAGTGCAGCACCCGCCAGCTCTTCCTGGCTCTCCAGGTTGCCCCTGTCACGAGTGGGTTCCACCTACACCCTGACAGGGACCTCCTCCCACCTGCCCATAAGGTGTCACCTTACATGGACGTGGCCCCTTACCTCCACCCGGGCCTCATGGACCCCCTGGGAATGGGACCTTAAAAAAACATCTTCTCTAAAAGCCAAAGAAACTTGGCTCTTTCTTTCCTTCCTCCTCTTCCTCCTCCTCCTCCTCCTCCCCCCCCCCCCCGTCCCTGTGCCTGTTTTGCTTTTCTGCCTTCCCCCTGGCTTCCCCGCCCCCATCTTGGGAGGGGGCTGCAGAAAAACGCCTTACCCGCGCAGGAGTTCATCCGCTGCATCCAGGGGTACACGGGGCTCGAGTACTTCCGGTCTGCGCCCGGGTCGTGGAGGGCCTTGCCCTGCACGCCGCCGCCGCCGCTGCTGTCGGGTTTGTACTGCTGGTCGGGAGAAAAGTGCAGGTAGTCCCCAGGGCCCCTCTGTTTGCCACTGCCCGAGGGCGAGGCACCACCGAGGTCCTTATCAGAATAGAAGCACGAGGCCCCGTACTCGTAGGATGCCCGGTTGCAGGCCAGGACCGAATTGGACTGTTGGTAGAAACAAGGTGAGGTGTATGTCTTGTCCGGAAGGCTAGACGCCCCATACGAGGCCGGGAAGGGCCTCAGCGCGTCATAGCTGGCCGGGTAGAGGGGCAGCTGGCCCAAGAAGGACTCCTGGCCGCTGGGCAGGCTCCCGGGAAAAGTGGGATTCACAAAATAGGAACTCATTTGCGCGCCCCTCTGCAGGACTGTGATTTGTTGTGTATTAGTACATCTGGCTATAACTATTAGTAGTCATCGAACTGGTTTGTTTCTGGATGGCCGAACGCCAAAAGCGACAGCAGCAAATCGCACCAGCTGACGCGGCGGCGGCCAATGGGAGCGAGCGCCGGAGCCCGCTCCCCCGGGACCGCGGCGACCGAGGCAGCAAAGTTACAAACAGCCCCCAGCCCGCCCGCGCGCCCGCCCGGCAGATTGATGGGCGCGCACAGCCAGCCGGCCCGGCTCCCCTCCCGGACGCCGGCGGCGGGCACACACCCCGGCAGGGCCCCCGCAGGACAGCCCCTGGCAGGGGGCACCGGCGCCCAGGCCCCGCCGAGAAGGCCCCATCGGGCCTGCTCCTCTTTGTGTCTGCTTGTATATTACCGGTTCCCCCTACAGCTCTTGGCCACCAAACGGGAAACCTGCCAGCCCCGCGCCAGGAGGGGTGGTGATCCGACCGGGTCCGAGGGCGGTGGGGATCCCTGCCGGTCTGCCCTCCAGGCCAGATCCCCTGGTTTGGCTTGCTTCTGCCCTGCGCTGCCCTATTCGTAGGTGCCGGTGCTTGCGTGGGAGCGGGGGATCTGGGAACGCAGGCCTTCATGCCGCGCACTGGGTTCGTGTGCCCCCTTGTTCTGCTCTTCCCCTACATCCAGCCCCCAGGACAAACCTAAGACTCCCCCTCCTACACGGTACTCATCCCCAGGGCTCCCTGGCTGTGGCCGCTGCCAGCCTAGCCTCAGGGCAGCCCCCTGCGGGTGGGTCTTTAAGCCCCGGGAGGAGGCCGAGAAAGAACACTCTGTGAGAGCGGCTCTGAGCCCCAGCTCCAAAGCCGGCAGTGGGATCTTCGCCCCCCCTTGCCCAGCCTCTGCTGCCAGAACCACCCAGATGTGGGAACTGCGTGGTCCTCACTGCACAGCAGGCTCTGGACACTGACACGCAGAGTAGTTCAGCTTGATGGGGCCCAACGCAGAGGAGCCTGCCCTGTCCTGGGGTGCCCCCTCTTCCCTGCCCTCTCTGAGTCTTCGCCAATGGGGGCTGCTGCTAGAAATCACTGCAGAAGTGCCCTCCCCAGGAGACCCAGGCCCTGTCACCCCCAGACGGGACATGCAAACCCATCCCCGGGCTGCCCCCCGCCAGAAGAGAGGGCTTTTCTGGAGCCAGGATCCATCTCGCGTTTGGTAAAATGTGATATGGATCCAATGGCATTTTTATGGCTGCTTGCTGGGCTTGTAAAACCCCCTGAGTTAGCTTTAAGAGCCTGAACTCGGTGGCGGATGCAGAGGTGGCTGGATTTGCTTGGGTTCTGGGGACTGTTTTATGACAGCCTCTGCCCGAGCAGGCCCGGCGTCCTCTCCCGGGGGAGGAGGAGCCCATTGACAGCGCTGCTCATAGGACTGGTTATGACTTCCTTAATTTCTTCCTTGCCTTTTGATTTTTTTTTCTTTCCTGACCTGCTTCTCCTCCCCCCCCCCCCAAAGAGGGGGAAATTGGGAAAGGACTGGGCTAAGATGGGTCCCCAATACACGCAGGGCATCCATGCAGGTGGCTGGACCTGCTGGCTGGCCTGGTGGGGGCTGGCCCATGGGGAGTCTTGAGTCCCACTCTCTTGGTCAGCCAGCCTTGAGGCCGAAGTTGTTTTTCTGCCAATAGAAGACCGATCCCCCAGCAGAGGAGAGAATTTGGTACTGCCTTCAGCGAAAGGAACCAAATACAGGGAAATGAAAACTCAGAAAGAGTCAAAAATAAACAAAAGGGGAATTTTTCTCCAAAAGCTATGTTTGAAGAAAATCATATTTGACCTGGTTCCTAAACAACCGCGGGCGCACAAGCATTGCGAGTGAGTTACCATTTAAAATGAAATAACCGTTTTTGGAAATGTCGATCAATGCTTACATTTTTAGTTCTCCCCTTACTCTCTCATTCTTTGTGTCCTCCACAGAGGTGTGGCCAGTTCTGTTTACTGCTATTATTTGTTATGCTTTGACCTCGATCCTCCATCTAATCATCGCGCCAACCAATGAGAGAATTTGATCTCCCAGCCAGGCGCCAGAAAATTCTATTTCTGGCTTCTGTAGGCACGAATGGGGGAAAAATAGATGACATTGAAATCTTTACATGTTGGCCATGGCTTGATGCATGTCACGTTGGCAGCTGACCGACTTATTTCTCCAGCCATATCTATGTGACAGCCAGGAAAAAGCCGCCCTCCTCCACCAGGCGCCGAGGGGAGCCCTACACCCTGCAGCCAGCCACTCCAGCCCGGTGAGATGCGAGCAGAGAGCAGTCACCGCGGGACCCTGTGTCTGTTAAAGCCACACAGAGAAATGCCACTTACCTTTCGGCGTGTCTCCAAGGGGAGCAGGATGGCGAGCTGGGGCCCTCGGGACCGCCCTGGTCCTGGGCTGCCCACTGAACTCCTCGACCTCAGCCAGTCTGGGGGCGGCCCGCAGGTGTGTATGGGGGCGACCTAGAAGGCCACCTCAGTCGAGCCACATCGCTAGGCCAGGCCAGAGCCCCAAACCCATAGGTGCGGCCTCTGCCTGTCACAGGCCTTCGCCTGCAGCCAGAACCCGCCTTCCTTGTCATAGCCAATCCTCCTCCGGGTCACCCAGGCCCGCAGGCCTCAGGACCACAAGTGACCTCTCAGATTCCAAAATTCCAAAGCCGGCGCGATCCCCGAATCGGCGTGCGTCCCCAGGGCGGCTTTGGGACGCTGTTTAGACAGCAGCAGCCATGACGTGCCAAGCGGCCTGTGCAACCAGTCTCCACGGTGCTGAGATGGGGGTGGAGGGGGCAGACCCGAGTCCATTCCGCAGCCAGCTCTTGTCCGGAGTGGCCGAGGAACGGAGCTCTCCCGACCAAATAGGCCCTGGGAGACCGCCCCTCGGGTCCCCTTCCGTCTCCCCCTCTCCCCTGCCTTCTGGGGAAATCTCTGAGGGGCCCCCGTGCAGCAGACGCGCCAGGCTGCCAGAGGCTGGCTGCGGCTGGCGCCGGTCCCGACGACGACCACAGCGTGGCAGCAGCGAGCGTCCGGCCCGCTCGCCATAAATAACCTGCCAGCGGCAGCCGCAGGCTGCCCGGCGGCCCTGCCGTGCAAACGCGCCGCTTTCTCCTCTCCGAGCGCACCCCCGGCGCGGCCGCAGGTCCCAAACACCCGCAGCCGCCTCTTATTGATACAGCTCAGGCAAAGACCTCACGATGGAGGGAACAACCACAACACAACACAACACAACACAAAAGCAAAGAACGCGAGCCCAGAACCAAGGGATATATGTGCTTTTTTTTTTTTTTTTCCCTTGCTGAGGTTGCGGGCGCTCCCGGGCCATATCGGGCCCACTGCATACCCAGGTCGAGCCATGGTGCTTGCCATTGCACTACGCAACGCCACTGCCACCAGCCGCACTCTCTTCCTGGCGGCTCTTCAAATTGACCTCGTGAAAGCTGGGACGCGGGTGCCAACCCCTTGTGCCCAGGTGGGGAGGGGGCTTCCCTCGATGGTCCAGACTCGGCCCGCTTCCTGCCTTCAGCCCCAGCTGTGGGCCGCTGCCAGCCGCGTTAACGCGACCTTGCCCTACGCGCCGCCGCCGAAACTTCCCACCAAGTAGCACTTGATTAACCCCCTCCTCTCCTCCAACACAGAATCCCGTCCAACCTATTCCCTCTCCTCCGGGCGTGCCAGACGCGTCTCCTCCTCGGAAAACTGCCCTCCCCCGCTGCCCCCAAGGAAGTGCTAGTGATCGGCCGAAAACTCCGTAAGTTTCTATTTGTCCTCCCTCCCATTCCACCTTCCCGAAACCAAAGCCCATGAACAACAGCAGCCCAGCCGGTGTTAAAACGCCCAGCCGTCCGTGCTTTCAGCCCTCGCCTCTCGCCGCCTTTTCCAGGACGCACACCCACTTTCTGCTGTTGGCCTGTTCGATCGAATCCGGCTGACCGTGAATAACAACAATAATAAAAACCCAAACCGAGAGCGCCTGGCGAGGAACGCAGACGAGGGGCCAATTTCCTTTAGGGCTTCCCGGGGGTCGCTGGGGAAGGGAGGAGAGAGAAGCCCCCAAAGGCTGCCATCCCGCGCCAGGGCGCTGTGCCAGGGAGGCAAGGCAGGCGCCCACTGCCAGGGCGAGCTAGGGAAGCCAGAGCGAAGGAATGGGGGTGCGCGCTGCCGCCGCTGTGGTGGGCGGTGGGTGAGACCGGGTTGGTTAAAGGAGAATGTGTCCCTTGCGGAAGCCGCCCGGGGTGCCCTCTGCTGCGGGCGCGGCTGCCACCTAACCACCTTTGCTCGTGTCTCCTCCCCGCAGGTCTCACCTTCAGATGGTGGCTGCCAAGAGTTCCTGGCCCCTCTGACAGCTGTCGCTCGAGCCGCCCGGGAGACGAATCATCCTCCTTTCCTGGTGCCAGAGGACGCAGGAAATTAGCCAGGTTGCGAGTTGGGAAGCGGCCGCGGCGGCGCCGGGAAGCGGGAGCGCTCCACCTCCTCCAGCAGAAGCAGCCGGGCCTGGCCTGGCCGGGGCTTCCCCTGGCTCGCCATCGCCGGACAAAGCGCACCCGAGCCGGGCTGGCAAAGGCTGAGCTCTCCTCCGAAGCAGGCAGGACGGAGCGGAGCAAAAGAATGCGGCTCTATTCTCGCAAGGGAAATTATAAAAAAGTTCATGTTCACGGTTCCCATCCACATGACCGACAGCGGCCAATGGAAGGGCCGAACAACTCATAAAGTTGTATTGCAAAGTTGTAAATTTTCATAAACAACAACGGATTTATGACCCTTTCCCCATCACTACGAGGAGGCAGCTCTTACACCGGCGCCATCTTACCGCCGAGGCAGCCCGGGCTCGGGCCTCAGGTTTGAGGGACCCGGTGGGGCGCGGTTTTCGGGAAAAGAGCCCCCCAGACGGGGAGCCCTGCCCACTCCCGAAGCCGGAATGGAGGCCCTCGCGGGACCAGGTCAGGATGCTCTGACTGTCTCCCTCGCCCCTTCCCCGCACCCATTTGCCCTGCAGAGGCTGCGCAGCCGGGGTCTGCGGCCCCTGCCCCTCCCTGCACACCTCTGCCGCAGTGCGGGTCCCAGGGGCGCCCTCGCCTCGCTTAAAGGCGGGGTAGGAGCTGCAGCGGAGACCCCCAACCCTTCTTCCCCCGGCCTAGGGCCAGTTTCAGGGTGTGTGCGGACGCTGTGACCGCCCGCTGGCTACTGCCGCTTTACAAGCCCACTCCACCAGCGTTAGAAAAAAGACCAGATTTGAAATTAGCTCATGGAATTTACAGAGGGTTTTTGTTTTGTTTTGTTTTGTTTTGTTTTGTTTTGTTTTGTTTTGTTTTGTGAGGGAAGTTCATAGAATGTCAATTGATAACTGTTTTCAAGGATTCTAGAAAATGTCTGAGCATACACAAAAATCTGATAAATTCTGCCAGGGGGCACATGTACATTATGAAGGCAGGCACCCGCGTGTTCTTGACTGTGGGCACAGGGAGTGGATGCAGAGGTCCACACCATTCTGAGGCTGTGTGAACCTGCAAAAGGCACCCAAGGAAGTGGCACATACGCCCCGGAACCCAGGAGGCATGGATCCTCCTGACCACATTTGTTTCTCCCACTCCCTTGGGGGCACACACAGCCACTGCCCTCCCCTGAAACCCACCTACCCCTACCCCAGGACCCACCAGATAAAGCAGACCGGGTTTGTTTGTCACCAAGCATCTTTATTTTCCTGTGACATAAAACATGGTCAGCCGGGCTGGGTGCAGCCCAGGCTGGGACTGGAGTGGGACACAGAACACAAGAGATGAAGCTCCCTGGGGAGGGCGCAGACCCCCCCCCAGCAGTACAGAGCTAGCTCACAACACACCATGCTACAAAGTTACCCAGGAACACCTCCAGCTAGGGTCAGGACGCTGCCTTACACGTGAGCTCCAAGACTATAAAAATGACAGGAAAACGAGAGAGAGAGAGAAAGCTCAAATACACAGTATTTTCCAGGATAGGAAAAGTCAAGGTGTACATAATTGACATGGCTGAACAGGACCCAAGGCCAGGCTGAGAGCACTTCCACAGTAGCAGAGGCCAGCGCTAGGCCTGCAGCCAGCTCCGGAATGGCCCCTCCAGAAGGGGTGGGTAGGGTTGACAAGCCCCAAACATGGGGGTTCCAGGTTGTAGCACTTAGAATGCTTTGGAATAAATATATTATTATTATTATTTTCAATTTAAATAGAAGCCAATGCCCTGGTCCCTGGGTCCCAGTGCTTTCTCAGTGAGGTCTCGGAGACCCCAAAATCTGCCTATTGGAAGCAGCCCCAGGGTTGGGAGGGGGGGCTTTGGCCTGGGAGGGGCCGGTACTAGGCAGCAGGCAAAGCCAGCCAGCCAGCGTGACATAGGTAGTTTGGGCTGTAGTAGGTAGTACAGAAAGAGTGTGTCGTGTTCTTGTGGGTGTGGGTGCTGGTATCTGCCAGCCTTGGAACACGTCTGGGCTTTCCTGGCATGGAGGCCCACTGGGGCTGGGCCCATAGGTAGTTTGGGGAGGCCCCCCAAGGAGGCCTGTGCTAGGTAGTATTTTGGCTGTGCCAGCACTGAGTGGCTGGCCTGGGGTAGGGAGAAGTGTTGGGGCCCTTGGAGGCAGTCCTCCAAGTGGACCCCAGCCTGGGGGGAGGGACGCCACCCCTCAGTTCAGAACAGTTGAGAGAACTTGAGTGAGTGATGGGTTGGGTGCATACGGTTTGGGGACAGGGCTGGTTTCTTAAAAATCATTTTTATTTCCCTCCCCATTTCGTAAATAAAATCAGTGAGTCACTTAAAGACGCTTTTTTCCGACTGTCCCTGGACTGGGCCAAGCCGCTCATTCCTCCTCCTCCTGCTCTTCCTCTTCTTCATCGTCCTCTTCCTCATCTTCAGCCTTGTCTGCGACAGCTGCGGTGGAGGTGGTGGCGGCGGCTGCAGGCCCGGCGCCCTCGGGGGCCGCGGCGGCCACCGGTCCCTCGTCTTTATGCTCTTTCTTCCACTTCATTCTCCGGTTCTGGAACCAGATCTTGATCTGGCGCTCGGTGAGGCAGAGCGCGTGGGCGATCTCGATGCGGCGGCGGCGCGTCAGGTAGCGGTTGAAGTGGAACTCCTTCTCCAGCTCCAGCGTCTGGTAGCGCGTGTAGGTCTGGCGGCCACGCTTCCTGTCGGGTCCTGAGACAGACGCGTGGATACACGACAGACAGGCGACACAGAAGATAAGAAGACAGGACATTAGCCAGGCCTGCAGTTTTCTCCTTAGCAGGACCGCACAAAGTCAGGACCGCACCCGGCTCTGCTCGCGCTCCCTACAAGCTGGGCTGCGGGAGCAGGGCCAGTGTTAGGGCGATAAACCCCCAGACTGCAACGCCAGCCCCGTGCGGAGTCCAGACGCCCCATCCCAACCTTTCCAGCCCGCTACGTTTCAACAATGTCCCGCTTCCCCTGACAAAGGGAACGTGGAAATCCGGGCCAAGTAGGAGACTCCGTAGCACTTTGGTCATTCCTAGGCAGGCCCGGCTGCTCTCCCGCCTTCGCTAGGCAACTGGGAGAATCTCCTCAGCAGTCTGCATCTCCATCCCCAGACCCTCTCAAGGGCAAGTCAGCCCTCCGTCCCCAGTCCCTCCTGGGCCAACCAGGCTCGAAACCACCAGGTCCAGAGATGGATGGGGGGAGGGAGGGCTGGAGAATCAAGCTTTTCAGAGAAGGAAAAGCCAGGCAGAATAGAAGAAAACTAGTCAGGGAAAGTGAGAAAGAAAGGAGGGAGGGAGCAGGATGAAGGGAAGGAAAGCCAGAATAGCAGGGGGAAAAAAGCAATGTTAAAATTCCAAGGCAAATGGAGTTAAATAAATTTACGAGGATCCAACCCATTAATTGAGCCATAAAAAGTTTTATGAGTCTCATTTACATACAATGCCACGGGCTCTCCACGCAATGGCGCCTCAGCTCTAATTAAAACCAGAAAAAGCAACGCCGCCGAGAATCACGGGGCCGCCGGCTTGCAGCCGCCTGCCCGGCTCGGCATTCCCGACCCCAGCCCCGGCGCGCCCTGGCTCCCGGCTCCTGGCTCCCGGCTCCCGTTCCGGCAGCCCGCCCGCCTCGCCGCTGCGCCTACCTGAAGATCGCATCCAAGGGTAGATGCGGAAATTGGCCTCGGCCGAGCCGTGCAGCGCGCCCTCGTCCGCCTTGTCGCAGGCGCCTTTGGCGAGGTCGCTGCAGAGTCCGGGGATGTTCTGGTCGTAGGAGGAGCAGGGCAGGTTGCTGTAGGCATCGGCGCCCAGGCCGTAGCCGGACGCGAAGGGACTCTGATACAGGGGGCTGTTGACATTGTACAAGCCCGGCACGGTCGAGGCAAAGGCGCCGGCGCCCGCCCCGTAGCCGCCTCTCTGCGAGTTGGGCGCAAAGGAACAAGAAGTCGGCTCGGCATTTTGGAAGAGAGAAGCCCCCGCCGTATATTTGCTAAAAAGCGCGTTCACATAATACGAAGAACTCATAATTTTGACCTGTGATTTGTTGTCCGGCAGCTTTCAGTGTCGGTTTTACGAGGTAGCGTGATATATGATAACATTACACCCCCAGATTTACACCAAACCCCATTTTCTTTTGGACGGAGCTCGCCTCGGCACGTGACCGGCCACATGACCGCCTCCGCCAATCTCCGCCGCCCTCACAGGTGGTCTGGCTCGGCCGAGCCCGCGGCTGCCTAGAATGGAAGGGGAAGAGGCTCAAATGTGCGGCCGACGAAACCGGCCCGCGCGCGCCGCAGGCCCCGCGCGCCCCGCGCGCCCCGCGCACCCGGACGCCGCGGCTCGGCGCGCGGTCTCCCAGCTGCTGGGCACCCCGAGCGGGGGGCAGGGACTGTTAAGGAACCCCGAAATCCTGCCTCGTCCCTCTCTCGGGTCTGAGGATCAGCCCCTGGTGGATGCCCGAGTCCCCTCCTCTTCCCATCCTGCGCCCGGCGCGGCCGCGGGCTGCCCTGTCGTGACCTTGGGGACAGGTCTCCTGGCCCGCTGCATCCCCTTAATCCGGGTCCACGGATGGCTGCCGGCAGGACCTTGGAGACTCGGATCCGGACGCGCGGCTGCCGCAGCGTCGTTTTCAGCGGCAGCGAGGAAGCCTCCACAAACTGGAACCATGTGGTTCGCATAAAGTCAACGTCCCCCAGCTTCCTTCCCTTAATCGGCCGCGCTCTGTTTATCCGCCCTAAAGGAAGCAGTGAAATATTTATCTATTAATGAGCCTCATTTGCCAACAGATTTATTAAATAAGGGCTCCGCTGCTTCCTCCCGGGGCAACCGAGGCCCTGTAGGCTGCGTGCATATTCGCTCTTGGGCACCTGGCTGGCCTTCCGTGGCCCCTCAGCAAGTGTCTGAGCCTTTCTTTGTCTCCACCGTCCAAATCTCTGATTTCCTTCCTGCCTCGCGGAGAGCCACGTTTTGGATGAACTCCAGCCCTACACCTCTCCAGATACCCCCATTGCGGGGGCGGGGGGGGCGTGTTTCTGGCAGCCTTCACCCCCTTGCTCACCTTTGTAGGCCTGGAAGCAGTTCGGAGAGAAGAAGGGGAGGCTGGGGACCCACCGATTCCTTTCGTGATTTACCCTCTCCAGCAGCAGCTCGTCCAGGGAGGGTCTCCCTCCTTCCTGTCAGCTCCTGGCATCGGCAGGCCCAGGCTACCAACCCCTGCCCACCGTTGCCCCAGAGGAAGCCCCCCTCCCGGCGCCCAGCAAGCTGAGGATGGCTGGTGGGGCAAACCCTTCCCCTAAACGCCTCATAAACTGGCCAGGCTGCTCTGCAAGCCCGGCCACCTTTTTATGGTGCTCGATTGCACACCATAAACCCGACCTCACAATGGGCTTGCCCCGGAAATTCTCCTCTGAATTCTGGAGTTTCCTTGCTTGTGTACAAAGCCCGACCCAGCACCTCCTGAGGGTCCCAGCTGCCCCCCAGCACCCTCTCTGGGGGTCCCCCAGAGCGCAAAGGGCGGTAGCGGGGCAGTGCTGCGATCTGGGTGCTGGGACTCCAACACAGCGGGTGAGCCCTGGGGGCTTGAGTGAGGAGGTGGTGGCTGCCAAGGCAGGGGACTGCTAGGCGATGGGCTGTCTCCCTCCCAGGAGCTTAGGGACCCTAGGGAGCCTGTGAGCGGTGATCCGGATGACACCAGTCCGAGAAAGGAGTGGGTCAGATAGGAAGGGGGAAAAAAGAAAACGCCCCCAATATTTGTCACAAATAGTGGTCACCTTCCTAGAGGAAAGGAGAACATGATCAAGTTAAAGGAAGACGAAGCAAACGAAGTCCAGCAGATCAAAGAGGCGGAATTCGACGGCTTTAGACCAATAAATTGTTCCTCGGGTGACACTCTGCAAGGCGCAAAAAGAAAGGCCTGGGCCCGCCGCCGGCGTCTGTCTAGACTCCGGGCGGCAGACGTGGCGGCCAGCCCCGATCGCATTCCTGGGAGAAGCCGCCCCGCACGAGGCCCTGCGCCCCAGTGGGCTGTGACTTCGTCGCTTGCGGGAAGGCCGGCTCTTCCCCGCCACGGGCCCGGCCCAGCCCGGATTTGGCCCGGGAGCTCTTGTGTCCCAAGCTCCAGCGGCGGGACGCGCTTGACCCTCCCCTGGGGCTGGGCCCCCCGCAGGCAGCGAGTCCCCAGGACGCAAAAGCTTCCCTTTCGTTTCTCGGCTTCTGCTTTGCCCTGCCGTTTTCCGCGGTCCGACTGTGAAAACGAAAAGACCCGATAAGATCAAGCTTTCGGGGATCCCCGTTTAATTGCGGGTTCTTGGGTTACAGGTTCCTCGTTTGCTTGCCTGAATGAAGACAAGAAGGTGCCCGGTGCTGCGGGGTACGGGGACGTGCAGCCCGCAGAGGGCACAGGCGGCCGGCTTTTCCAATTGGCAGAATACACTTGGTACAGGTTTTTCCCCACTGTTCTCCCAGGGCCAGTGTGTCTCTCTCTTCCTAGCTTCCTGTCACCCATTTGTCCCCAACATTTAAAATCCAGCTAAGAACGCAAACCCAGCTCTCCGGTGTGCAGCAACCGGTGACCCGCGTTCCCCACCGGCTGCTCCATTCTAGAGCAGCTGACGCTGTCTGAGCGCAGGCACACACGCTTCCCCACGCGTGCACTGGGACTCCGGCCGGCGTGGGGTTTCGCGTGGAAGAAGGCCCACGCGGCTGGGAGGTGAGGTGGAGAGGCAGTCTCGCTGCCGCCAGCCGGCAAAGGGCAAGCAAGGCCCGGTGCTGGGTGGCGCACAAGGCCGCCCGGGAAACCCTGGGCTTTAGGCTTTAGTCCATGGAGGGGAGCGCTTCCCCGACCTGCGGCCCCGCCTTTGTGTGTGTTGTTCACACCAGCGCTTCCAGGCCTGCGGTTTTACATCCGTGGAGCTTCTCCCTCCGCGGCTCCTATGTCGCCGAAGGGGGATTCAAGGACAAACTATAAAATGCCCCTACCAGTTACCTCCCAACAGTCAGTGTGGCAGAATTGCCAAGAGAAGTCAAACCAAGCTGTGACTATCCTAGCATGTGTACATAAACACCCAGAAAAGAGAGAGAGGAGCGGGGTCGGCCAGAAGCCGACCCCCAGTTTTACTGCGCGAGCAGCACGGAGATGCGGGTCGTAAATGTTTTGTGGGCTTGGCAGAGACGGTTACGACCCAAATAAACGCGCCGCGCGGCGCATTCCCGGGGCTCGGGGTACCTGCGCGCAGCCTCCTCGCTCTGTGCGTTACTTCGCGTTTCCTCCCGAAACCGAGATCCACCCGTGGCTGACCCTGACCCTCGGGCCTGGGGCCACGTCCGCATGGGCTCCAGACCCCTGGGGTCGGGGGTGGACAGGCAGGGCCTGCAGCTGGAAGGGGTTTCCTCCCTTGCGGCCTCCGAAAGCAGCCCGTGTACCTCTAAAAGCCTGAAGAAAAACGAGGGAAGGATGGGTTCCAAGGCGAGAAAGCCACTTTCTGAAGCAACGATTCCTTTGAATATTATTTTTAAAAACCACGTTTATTGTACAATAACCAGAAGCAGAGAATTAGCTGTCTGTCCCCACCGAGCGGGCTTGCCCTCTCCGGAGCCAGCCCTGGCGGCAGATCCACACCGCACAATCTAGAAGCAAGTGTAGCTTCTCGCCCCGTTTTTTCACCCTCCTAATGCCTTCCTGCTCAGGCATTCAAGCCTTCTGCATCCCGGCGTCCCGGCTCTGGCGCTGGTGCTGGTTCGCCGGGCCCCCGCACTCGACCCCGACCCGGCGTGGGTCCCGCAGGCCCGCGCGCTCTCGGCGGGTCCTCGGTGCCGGCAGCGAAGGCTTGCCGTCAGTCCTCTGTCCCCGCGTCCGTCCGTCCTCCGGGGGTCCCCGGGCACCTCGCTGCCCTCAGGCCTGAGCCGCACCGGCCGTGGACAGTGACCGTGAGGTTCTGCCCGCGCCAGGAGCCACAGTCCCGCAGCCAGCCACCATGCGGGGACCGTGGCGGGGGAGGGGGAGTCCTCGGGTGGCGCTTTCGGGGGACGCGAGCGGTACTGAGTTACAGGGGGGAACGGTCACGTCGCCACCCCCTACTGCAAGCTTCCGGGCGCGGCTTGGGCAGCGCGGACCCTATAGCAATTGTTCTGCGATCGGATCTGGGGCTCCCGTTCCAGAAAGGCTCGCGTCCTGTCGACATCTTAGGAACTTCCTGGGGTGGCGGCGGCTGGAGATGGCGGCGAGGACGCCTCTTGCGTGGAGTCACACTGCCATCTGCTGGCCAGTGCTGGGCACTGCACGCGCCGGTCTCCCTGACCTTCGGCGACGCGGCCGCCGGCACCGGAGCTCAATGGACCGGGCCCTGCGCACGGGGGTGGCGGGGATGGCGGACAGGGGGGTGTCCGTGCGTGGAGCCCGGAATCTGCGCTGCAGAGGGGGGCAGTGCCCATAAAACAGAGCTGTTTCCGCAGTCGCTTTATCGTCGACAGACAGATCCAACAAATGAAAGGGCTTTGGTGGAATATCCTTAATTGGGGCTGGACAGTCGTAAACTCATTAAGGGCCGAATTCCAGACGGTTCGCAGACCGGGGGCCTTTATGGCGCACCCTTACTGCCCATTCTTTGAAGTCCCCTGTGTCTGCAGCAACAGGGGGCATCCCACGCCGGCGGGCGGCCCACGCCGGGGGCGAGGCGACACGCGGTCCACCCACGCCCCGGTGGCCCCTCCAAGCTTCGGGAGACGCGGCCGGCTTTGTCCCCAAGTCGCAAGGGGAAAGAAGGGCGGACGGAGGAGGAAGCGTCGGGATGGTGGGACCTGACCCCTCAAGCCACATCTGGAAGGCGCTGGCCACTCTCTTGCCCCCACCCCCACTCCCAGCAGCCCTTTACACCCCATAAACCCTAACAACCCTCATTTTCTTTTATGGGGCTCCGGGGCGCCGTGGGTGCCGCCGCCGGCCCTTGCCCAGCCAAAACCAGTGCGCGCCGTCCGGTTGGACGCGGGGTCTCTCGCTGCCTTCTTTTCCCGGCTGTGGCCCGGTTCTGTCTCCCTTATCCGCACGGGCATCCCCGTAGGCGCGCACCCGTCCCTGAAAGGGCGGCCTTCCCTGGGCAGGCCCAGGCCGGGCTCAGAGGCCTCCCCGCCGCCCGGGCAGATGGACAGGGCCTCGCCTGACC